AATCTGAGGGGTCATTTAATGATTTAAAAATGAACACAATGAATAAGAAAGAAACTAAATGTTGTGGACAAATATGTTACCTTTTTTTCTACTTTGTGTCTTGTGAAATAAGGGACGGACACTAGAAAAATTCACTCTGGTTGCCAGTGAGCTGAACAGTCAGTTCGTGTTTTTGTGAAACTTTATTACATATAATCATGGGGGTGGGGGGGGTTGTGTTTGAGCTGCAGTCTGCGCCGTGGATGCAGGTGGAGGTGTGATGACATGATGCAGCTGCCAGCGTTCTCCTTCTCCCCTGCTGCTATCAAAACATTATGTTCACTCACTTTACTGTACTGTCACTCTCAAGTCAACTTTATTTCTAGAGCACATTTAAGCACAGCCTAAGCTGACCGAAGGGCTGTATAAAAATTAAAAAGGAAGACCCACAAAGCAAAACATACCAACGACAACAGAGGAAGGAAAGACCATCCTACCGGAAGCTAGTGTTAATTTTGTTCGTTTTAAAATTGAGTCCTGTGTCAAATGTCCTTGTTAGTTTTTGTCATATTTAGTCCACAGTATACTATTTTTTAGTCAAGTTTTAGTGGACTAAAAGTCTGGGTATTTTAGTCAAAAGACAATCAAAAGTATTTTAGACTAGTTTTAGTCATTAAGCATCATTTGAGTCTTGAGTCTGACTCATTAGGTCAATCTGCTCCAACCAAAATAGAGATATTTATCATTTTAGTCTTTATTTCACTGTTTTTTTGTTTTGTAAAATTTGAATTTCAGCTTTGTTCTCATTTTTATTGCAAAGGAGACATTAACTCAGTTCCCAGGTGGTTAGCGTTGATATGCTGCTTCAGGTTCGTGGTTGTGGTGTTTTTTCCAAAAATCTTATAACCACGTTGCTCACTGTTCGATATAATTAGGCACTCTGTCTTTTTTGTCCACCTCACTGTGTTTGAAGTAGGACCAAATATCTAAGTGCCTCTTTATTCCTAGCATGTTGTGTTCATCACCAGAGTTTGCTTCCTCCACAGGAACGTTTTCCTCAAAACAAACCGCTGAATGAACAAAAAGTGGAAATTTAGAGGGAGAAAATCTGGCCTGTAATATTTTGTCTCCTCATTATACTTACAAAAAGAAAGAGAGATTTTATTAACATTTTTATTTTATGAATTACATTTTAGTCTCGTCATTTTTCCTTCCTCACTTTGCACATTAATACAGCCACAGTCAGCGTCTAAGGACATTGTCGCCATCTCATTTTCATCAGGGAAAAAAAGAACGAATATATTTCGTTTAGTTTCTGACGAAAGTAACACTACCTGAAGCCGGGGTCAGTGATGTATCTCAGAACTGAACAGCAGCAAATAAATGTTTTCTTGAAGCCATGGAAAATCAAGACTTTAAACTATACAGGAAACCTAGTGGGAATTTTAATTTCTTTACAAAATACTCACTATGGTATTTAAAATTTACGTTTTTGTCGCACCAAATTCCTCCTTAATACAGACTCCATCCAGGGTCACGATGGAGAGGGGTGGTACCTTTGTTTGCCCAGGGTAAAAAATCAGAACTTTAGTTTTGGAACAGTTTCAGATCCGATGGAGCATGTTCCAAAATCTCTGCTGTACAGGGCACAGGAGGTCATAACTGTATCATCTGCAGACAGGTGATGTTTGCAGAATTTGAACTTGTCACAAATGCTGTTAATGTAAATATGAACATTTCCTCGTTACACAAGCCATCAGAAACTCCTATTTAGGTCTGACTAACTATAAATGTAAATCTACTTTAAATAACTCGCTATGCTAACAACATTAATGCAAATAAACACTTTCGTAACACTTTTCTAAGTTTGGGACCTCGACATTGTTCAGTTCTGTTGTAATTTCCAGACAAATAGTTGATCCACGATGGATAAAAACATTAATCAAGAACGAACTTAAGATTTTTTAGTTCTTGTATATTTTTCTTATATAAACTTTATATCTGAAAGTAAGTAAGAAATGACTCCCCAGAATGCACTGCAGCGTCCTCAGACCAGACGATACACTGAAGCACACGACAGCCAACACTCTCTCACCGTGACCTTTCAGGATGTTTCTTTGGCAGCTAAACTTCATTCCCCAGCTGTCTGAAGACGACCGACTGCACCTGATAGTGAAGTCTTTGTCGTTAGCAGATTTTATAAACAATTTACACGACAAGGCGTTTCACTATGTACTTATATGGTTACAGGACAAAAGATGCAGCCTGCTGTCAGCTCGATAGTTCTGCTCTCACTTTTCTGACATGTACTTTGAGTACATAAAATAAACATCTGCTCTTCCCATTTCTTATCATCATTCTTTATCCAGAGGTTTTTGTCCACCTGTTTCAAGCACTCCTCTGGTCTGATCAAACTTTTTGTGGATAAACACTCAGTGTGTGTTAGTGATTTGACACTCTGGCTGTTGTTGGGGGTTGTAATTAGGAAGGTGAAGGTGGTTTGTTTCTGTATTTTATTTGGACTACATGTTCATGAACCTATTCTTCTACTTGAAGATGTGACAGATCACTGTTCATCATGTCTTGTGGCTTCATTCTGGACATTTTACTTTCACTGTGGGTGTAATTATTTAGATTTATTCAATGCCACCTCTAGTTTAGGATCCTTCCTCTGGGAATCATGAAAATCCACAGGACATACACTGAGCAAAATTATAAAAGCAACACTTGTTTTTGCCCCCATTCATCATGAGCTGAACTCAATGATCTAAGACTTTCTCCATGTACACAAAAGGCCTATTTCTCTCAAATATTGTTCACAAATCTGTCAAAATCTGTGTTAGTGAGCACTTCTCCTTTGTCGAGATAATCCATCCACCTCACAGGTGTGCCATGTCAAGATGCTGATCAGACAGCGTGGGGACTGCACAGGTGTGCCTTAGGCTGGCCACAATAAAAGGCCTTAGACTGGCTACAATAAAAGGCCACTCCAAAATGTGCAGTTTCACTGTATTGGGGGGTCCTTCACATAGAGTTGATCAGGTTGTTGACTGCGGCCTGTGGAGTGTTGGTCCACTCCTCTTCAATGGCTGTGTGAAGTTGCAGTCAGGTCGAGACCCCGATGAGGACGACAAGCGTGCAGATGAGCTTCCCTGAGATGGTTCCTGACAGTTTGTGCAGAAATTCTTTGGTCTCAGACGATCTTGGAGGTGAAGATGCTGGATGTGAAGGTCCTGGGCTGGTGTGGTTACACGTGGTCTGCGGTTGTGCGGCCGGTTGGATGTACCGCCAAATTCTCTGAAACGCCTTTGGAGACGGCTTATAGTAGAGAAATGAACATTCAATTCACGGGGAACAGCTCTGTGGACATTCCTGCAGTCAGCATGCTCCCTCAAAACTTCCGACATCTGGGGCATTGTGCTATGTGATGGAACTGCACATTTTGGAGTGGCCTTTTATTGTGGCCAGCCTAAGGCCTTTTATTGTGGCCAGCCTAAGGCTTTTTATTGTGGCCAGCCTAAGGCCTTTTATTGTGGCCAGCCTAAGGCACACCTGTGCAATACCCATGCTGTCTGATCAGCATCTTGATTATCTCGGCAAAGGAGAAGTGCTCATTAACACAGATTGACAGATTTGTGAACAATATTTGATAGAAATAGGCCTTTTGTATACATAGAGAAAGTCTTAGATCTTTGAGTTCAAGTGTTGCCTTTAAAATTTTGTTCAGTGTAGATTTATTCAGTGCGAACTCTGTATTAGGCGCCATCTGAAAAGTGGCAAAGTGAGCTTAGAAGTATGACATCATGTGACGTATATGTAGAATTTATTTATCATTTAAGTATCTGATCCATAGCCATACATTGTCTTGTATACATCTAAAAATATGCAAATTCAAGGTCAATTCAATTACACTGGGGGCCTTGTTACCTCCTTTTGTTTTAGTTTTTTATTGACATGGTGGAGACATTTTACAAAATATATTGGAAAGACTCACACTAGCATCCTTTCTGTCTACCATCATCATTAGGTGTCACAGGATTTAAAGGAATTATCAGTCCGCTGCCGTTCTGCAGACGTTTTCTGATTAATGTTAAAAACCTGAGGTGATTACCAGGTTAATTGAACTGGGAAATGTGGTTTCGGTGTGTGTGTGTGTGTGTGTGTGTGTGTGTGTGTGTGTGTTTCTGTGGGACAGACTGCTGGAGACATGAGACACAGCGAATCGCTGCAGAGAAAAAGACTTTATACACACTTCCAACCTCATAACATTCAAAAATAATATGCAAGATCAGGAATCAGGTTAACACTCGACACATGAAGAGTCACATCAGAGCTTAGAGAGTCAAAATAGGGCAATAGTATGGTTTGTGTAGAAGTTTTCTAGGTTGATAAGAGTCCATCCTCACCTCCACCATCACCATCTGGTACGCTGCTGCCACTGCCAGGGACAAGGGCAGGCTGCAGCGCATCATTCGCTCTGCAGAGAAGGTGATTGGCTGCAATCTTCCTTCTCTTCAGGACCTGTACGCCTCCAGGACTCTGAGGCGAGCAGGAAAGATTCCAGCTGACTCCTCCCACCCCGGACACAAACTGTTTCAGACTCTCCCCTCTGGCAGGAGGCTGCGGTCCATCAGGACCAAAACCTCTCGCCACAAAAACAGTTTCTTCCCGTCTGCAGCCTCATCAGCAAGACCCGGGTCTCCTACTGACACTCCTTTCAAATACTGTATATCGTTGCACATACCCGGTATATTGCACATATTTGTTGTTTGTTGTTAAGCGTTATTCTTCTATGTTTTATGTTTTGTCAATTTATATATTAACATCTGTTTATTCCATATTTAAACTGTTTGTCTGCGTGTAGCACCTTATCTCCAAAGCAAATTCCTCGTACGTGTTAAAAACTACTTGGCAAGAAAGCTCCTTCTGATTCTGATCATCTTCATGTCCTGCTGCTTGGTTTCAAAATAAGTGTTAAGTTATATAGTAAAGATGTCTCTCTCATTCTCTCTGTTTTCCAGTTTACTTGGCCGCTCATGGGCGCTATGCTCAGAAGCTGATGAGCGACTTGTTCTCCAACTACACCAACGCCTTGCGGCCAGTAGAGGACACTGATCACATCATCAACGTCACACTGCAAATCACTCTCTCCCAGATCATCGACATGGTGATCACATGCTGACTGCCCGTGCAAATGTTCATGTTGTGTGTATTCGTGCCTGTGCTGATGTTCATGTGTCTTCTCACCAGGACGAGCGGAATCAGATTCTGACTACCTACCTGTGGATCCGCCAAGTTTGGATGGACGCCTACCTCACCTGGAAGAAAGAGGACTATGACGGCCTCGATACCATCCGCATCCCCAGCAGCTACGTTTGGAGACCAGACATCGTCCTGTATAACAGGTAGGTGTGGCGCCCTGCTGTCGATCTGCCTGGCCACACAACATTCGCCATCGCCCCACCTCCAATCCTCTGCTTCCTCTCCCTGCCTTCACACAACTCCCTCCACTTTCTCCACCACAGTGCGGACGACGAGTTCTCCAGCTCAATGGAGACCAACGTGGTTCTTCGTAACGACGGTCAGGTCATGTGGGACCAGCCAGCCATCACCAAAAGCTCCTGCTCTGTAGATGTGGCATTCTTCCCCTTTGATTTGCAGGAGTGTCACCTAACCTTTGGCTCCTGGACTCACAACGGCAACCAGATGGACTTGTTCAATGCTTTAGACAGCGCAGACCTGGCCGACTTTGTCCCCAATGTGGAGTGGGAGGTGAGTGGTTGCCTTGTTCATGGGTTCAGAACAAGGCCTCGTCCCTGAATCTAATCAAATACTTTTTCTAATCAGGTTCTGGGCATGCCAGCCAAGAAGAACGTCATCCTGTATGGTTGCTGTTCGGATCCCTACCCGGACATCACCTTTACCCTCCACCTAAAGAGACGTGCCTCCTTCTACATCTTCAACCTCCTCATCCCCTGCATGATGATCTCCTTCCTGGCTCCGCTGGGCTTCTACCTGCCGGCCGACTCGGGTGAAAAGGTTTCTCTGGGTGTCACGGTTCTGCTGGCTCTCACTGTGTTTCAGTTACTGGTGGCCGAGAGCATGCCGCCCTCTGAGAGCGTCCCGCTGATAGGTGAGAAGGCTGAGGAGTCTCTGATTTTTGAAGTTTACTTTGAGACCTCTTGCAGAGGCTGGGTTCCCATTCACAACGGTTTCCAAATTCCTGAGAATAATTTAGTTTTAACCTGATCAATCAGTTCTGCCCATGGATGGCTGGATGTGCACTTCAAAATATCCCAGAGTTTCATGTGGTACTTGAGTCTTGGCGAACAGGAAAGGCTGACTGAAGATGGCCAAATATTTTTCTAAACCAGTGTTTCCAAAGCACTGATTTCAAGCCTGAGAGGCAGAGACCAGTATGCTTAAATAATACTTGGCAGCACATCACAAACGCTGTGTTTGTGACATTGTCTGTCTGAATCCTGTCAAACAAGTACAACTGCTTCTGTTTGCTTGTTCTCATTGTAACATTAACGTCAGAGCCAAAGCAGAAATTATTATTCTGACATAGAAAAACTCATTGGACTCCATAAGATAACATTCAAAACAATCCTTTATAGCTTCTACTTTGGAACCCTTTGGTCATTTAACAAGACTACCGCTGATAGGAACATAGACTACGTTCTTACATATCTTGGACCTGTTTCGCAAGTGTATGTCCTATAGCTCCAGGGTGCGCACCTTGCTCCAGATTGAATTGTGTGCCAAAGGTTTGTCTATAATTATGCCAAACCAGAAATGCAGTGCATCGTCATCCTGAGAGTTACTGTAAGCCAAGCAACACTGGACAGACCGGAGAGGTTCGACATCACATTTCACATTTCATAGATGAAAGTGAACGTTTGTCGGAGCTACAGCAGAGCTGAAGTCGAGATGAGTTTTCTCTGAAGTACAATCTGAACACAGCCAGTAATACTTATATCTTAGCTCAAAATCTTGTCAAATATAACTTGCATTTAAGTTCAGAATAATTACATGTAATGTAATCTTAGTTTTACAGTACAATTTTGCTTTTTGACACTTTTCTTTGTATTTACATGGATGCTGCCAGCTGTCTGAAGATTAGTTGTCTGGATGTGTTCCCCGCTCCAGTTGCCACATCATGTGGACACAGCTTCTGCAAGAACTGCATTACTAAATATGTTAACTGACCTGAGCTCACTCAAGTCTCACAATAACACAACAACAACAAACAAAAGTCAAACAACACAAACTAACTAACCAACCGAGGCAGCGGTAGAGCAGCAACTTCCATGTTCTGCAAGGGAAAATTACTTTTTTTGTCAATGGAGTCTGGTGGCTTTGACGAGAGCGATATAGCATCTGTTAAACATTCTCTGTAGGAATCCTTTCCATCATGTTGTCAGACGCCTATAATAACAATCTGAGCCTGCCTGCAAAAACAAGCTCTTTAGTGAACATACTTTAATGGGGAGCAATTGCCTGCAAGGATTATGTTGCAGCCCTGTTTCACTGCTGCTGACTGCAGCACGCTCATGCAATACTGGATCAACTTCATTCAATGTGGTCCCAATGAGTCACATAGACACAAAAACATGGGAGAATTAAATCAAAATACCAAAGTAACACTTTAGGCAAATAAGGGTTAAATGCCATCCCCCCTAATATTGTGTTCCAGTTGGTACATGTTTTCTTCTTTTGTGTTGCCTTCAAATGGAAGTCGTAAGATTGGATGGTCAAGATGGGAAGTTAAGTACACAATGTGTATGTATGTTATTTATTGTAGAGGTGAGAGTATTGTTGCTCTGCACCTGACAACAAAACGGACACTTTTGTGATGAATAATTTTGTGTATTTTAGAAATGAGCAACGCCAGCCTTCATAACAACTCTGAACTTTCATCAGTGGTTCAAAGAAGGGGGTTTTCACACCTGCCACATTAATCCGGTTGAATCTTACCAGAGTTCATTTTGCCCCTTGGTGCGGTTCTTTTGAGCAGGTGTGAATGCAGCATTCACACTCGGGTGCGCACCAAAAGCAGACCAAACAAGCGTAATGAGACTTCCTTGAAGAGGTGGTCTTGGTATGGTATTGGTTCAAACTAACTCTGGAGTAGTTTCATTTGCGGTGAGAATGTGATCAGATCTCGAACAGACAACCCTCCCTTTTTTCACGGGATTCTCCTGTTCAAATGTTTTCAGCGTGGGGGATGGATGATACAAAGCTCAACAGAGTATTTCATTCAGGGGCATATGCTCCTAAAATTAGATACGTGAGAACTGGAAGACTGATTGACAATGTGCGCGTAAAGGCTACAACCTACAGTAATTATTCTGCATGAATGGATATGATTATTGACAAGTTAGTACTTAGCATTAATAAATTAGGGACCAGTGTAGATTGCATTTCTTGCACAAGGATTTAATGATTGTAAACAACCCACAGAATTTATATTAGGGTTTATCGTATTGGTAAACTATATATTGAATTATAATGAATATAGTGACTAAGTAGTAGTATGTTGACATTAAACTAACAGTATACTATGGAATTAATTTTATGGGATTTGTTTTCTTCCGTAAGTTCAATTGGAATTTTCTCAGATGTTAATTGTAACCAATCAAAGAGCAGGAAATACGTTCAGAGACACATCTGACCAATGACTTATGTTGCTGCTCTTTGGTTTCACCAACTCATCAACTGATTCAGACCAGAGCAAACAGTGTGGTGTGAAAAGGAACTACAAATGGCTGAAAAACGCTATTTAAATTTTTTGCCCTTGGGCTGGACCACATGAACCCAGATGTGAAACTCTTCTTGTAAACTGAGAATGTCCATCCAAGTAAACAGATGGCATTGGTCATTCCTTCAAAGGCTTAATTTGAACTATATTTATATTTTTCAGATGTGATTGTGTGAATAATGGCGCAGTGGTACACTTCCTGTATTCCCCACCAAATCTCAAAACAAAGCAAAACAGACATTTGTCTTTGAGACCTTAAAGATTTTACCGTACTCTTAATGATCTTTACTTTCCTCTTTCAACAGGAAAGTACTACATTGCTACCATGACGATGGTCACTGCTTCAACAGCGCTCACCATCTTCATCATGAACATCCACCACTGCGGACCCGAGGCTGGGCCCGTCCCACGATGGGCCGAACGCTTCATCCTTAACTACCTTGCTCGCATCTGTTTTGTCTACGAGGTCGGTGAGAACTGCCTCAGCGGGACTTCATCCAGGAAACAGCCTCTGTCGCAGGAGGAGTCTGAAACCCCATCAGCCAATGGCGGCAACGCCAAAGACACAAACTGGGATGTGAACGGGCAGGTGTGGGCAGGGAGGGTGGAGGACAATAGGGCTGGGGATTTGATCAACCAAACGGACTGGAAGGAGGATCTGTTTGTGATCATCGACCACTCGGAGGAGGAAGGAGCTGCTAGAGGACATGAAGGGGAGCAGGAGGACTCAAACAGTGCCAGTGGAGGAGGAGGAGGAGGGGGAGGGGAGGAAGAGCATGTGGAAGAGAAAAAAGGCGTAGGAGGTGAACGGGGAGGCGGAGCTGGGCAGAACAGGAGGGAGATCTTGGTGAGAACCCAGTGTGTGTGCTCACATCAGGGGCTGCGCAAGAACATTGAGTACATTGCCAACTCATACCAGGACCAGCGCGCCGGACAGCTGCGCATCGGGGAGTGGAGGAAGGTCGCCAAGGTCATGGATCGCTTCTTCATGTGGCTCTTCTTCATTATGGTCTTCTTCATGAGCATCCTCATCCTGGGAAAAGCCATCTGATGGAGATCCGGCTTCGAAGAATCACGTGAGAGGGTGTAGGAGCTGGTACACCGATAAAATATTGTCCATTAAAATCAGTCTTCATCTTGTCGAAATAAGTGATCAATTTTGTTCAAATATTTGAATTTTTGTTGGGTTTACAGGCTCAATCCACCATTTTTCCGTGCAGCACATCAACCCGCCTTAAATTTTATTGTTTGGGTGTCAATGGAGCTGTGGATAAGACAAATGCCTTGCTGTGGGCGATCTGGGTTTGATTCCCTTTGTGACATCCACCAATGTGTCCCCCAAGAAAGACACTTAACCCCTAGTTTCTCCAGACCTCTGACATACATAGCAAATAAGTTGCTTTGGATAAATGACTAATTATTATTATCGTCTGGTATCTTTTCAAATAATGTCTTCCATCAGAATTTAAAAAATGTAGATATGTGGGTTTGCACAAACTGTCAGAAGATCTGTTTGTCTAAAATTGTATGTTGTAGCACTACGATTTCCCTTAAGAAACACCACACCATGAAAAAACAGCCCCTGACAAAAGTATTGGGACAGGGGTGTCCCGGTACTTTTGTCTATTTAGTGTATCTCTGACTACTTCTTCTGTCTGGGTGACATGTCCAGAAATATGTGAAAAATCCTGGTATAAAACATTAAAAACAACAACTAATTTCAGGAGTTGTTGATTCATCCACGTAGAAATCTGTATCCAAACATACCAGGTGTCTCAAAATGGAACGTCCTCCTCACTAATGGTTAAAACTATAAACCAGCAGAAGAATGACAATTACAAACGTGGACCAGCATGTTCTGAACAGACAGTACAGACACTAGGTTATGAACATACAACAACTCAAGAGGTGAGCTGAACTTTTCTCTGCAGCGGCCAACAAGCGATTCTCCTCTTCTGTAGTCACACGCAGAGCTGAGCTTTATTATGACGTCATGGCTTCTTATGCCTTCCTGTATCTGCTGCTGTCTCTTCTTCTGCATCAGTGAAGTTAACATGATGATCTTCTGATACTGTTTCTAATAGTTATAGTGGATGGGCAGATGTGGAAAGCATGGAACACGTGTTTTATCATTTCATATATAATCATATATCGTTTACATAGTGTATAATAGATCACCAGATTTGCTCACAGCATGTGTAGAAAATACAACAGACGCCTAAACTATCGCTGCACAGAGCAGAATCGAGATCTGCCTCGCTGCCGGAACGGACAGCTGCCTCAGAAGGCATCACTTTCAAGTGAAGGCATATTTCAAACGGCCTTCTAGGGCAGCACTTACGGCAACACGTGACGTCAGCACGCCGTCTTGCCTCTCCTCTGGCTGTCAGAAGGGACGCTAGCCTTAGAATCAGCTAACTAGCTATTGAAAAGCCAAACAGCTGACAGACAGAAATCCTACTGAACAAACTTGGTTGGTTACAGTCACGGGCTGATATGATAGGTCAGTGTCTAGTTCTTGCAAACTTCCCTATAGCCAAGCGAGAAAACTGCTAAAAACCTTTTTAAAAACATATATTTGTAGACAAATTTAGCTTGTTTGTCCGCCATCTTGATCATGTTTCATAAGCTGCCGCAGCCGCGCTGGTTTATGGGTGATAGGCAGCATCAATGCTGCCTTCAATACCGGCTGTTACTGGGGCAGTTTGAAGGCGTCTTAAGAGACAGGAAGAGATCGTTCAAGACATTTGGAACAGCACTCGATGCGTCGCTGTCCTGTTAGAAACCTGCTGAGACAGCAGTTCAAACCGTGTAGAGCACAGCCCACTTCTTAGATTTGCCATAGTCAAGTAGGAATTTCTGTAATGTTGCCACGGTATGCGATGCGCTTCAGTTTACGGCCTCCATCTGTTTGTGATGATCAATTTGTTAACATGAAGCGATGACTGATCTGCTCTGCAGCCAACTCACTACGTCTCACAGCTGAACACACTCACAGTCGCCACACGTTTTTATATGAATATCTTTGAGTGTTGTTAAATTTTGACTTTAAAATGCATGCAGCCTTGAAGAAAAGTATTACTCACATTGAAATGGACGATATCTGGAACTGCAATTAACAATAATTTTTTTCTATTTGTCAATCTTTTTTAGTACACTATAAAATGCAAAATATGGCCGTATTCTCACCTCAAGTCTAGAAGCTTAAATCACCTGAAGTTTGAAAATTAAAATTGGACAAATCTCTTACACTTCAATTATCATAACAGTTACTCGGAAAAGCAATGTATAAAGGGGAGGACGTCACAGTTTAATGCCACACATGAGTTTACTTTAGTGTCACTCACTGCATGACCATTCATCATATCTGCACCTGCAAAATGTTTGACGAAAGTGAAAAAAACGTTTTGGCCTGAATCAAAAAAATGTTACTCAACTTTCATTTTTTGTTTGTGTTCTTCACAATGTAAAAACAAGAAATGCCAAATTCTTCACTTTGACTACTTGTTGTTTATCCTGTTTGTGTGGTGCATTTGTCAAAAGACATATTTACACGTGACACAGAGTTAATACCATGAACTACATTAAAGATTTCTTATTAAAACAACTTTGTTTACTAGAATTTGTTGCAACTTTTTTTTTCCAGAATTCCACCTTTCAACACTTCATATTATTATTTTTGTGCAAACAGGAAAACAAGGACCTGGACCAAAAATGCTGAGCAAGAAAGGACCAGTTTTCTAGTTTATATAATGAAAAAAACAAAATATCTAAACTTACCATGGGTGCAGACAGTGTCCAAGATCATCCAAGAAACATTCACAAACTAAAGTAAAATAATCCAAATAAGGAATGGCCTTTAACTCCAAAGTCTGCAGACAAAACAAAAACACAATAATCCAGGCTGAAAGCAAAGAAACAGGCAGATACCGACACATACACACAAGCAGGCAGGTGATGAACACAGGTGAGACACATTAGGGGATCATGACAGACAGGAAGGAAGTTCAAACAAGACACAGGAGGCAGACGGTGTCAAAATAAAACAGGAAACAAAGCAAACTTCAAACCAAAACGTGACAGAAAGGTGCTTTGGAGGGAGGAGAGCTGAACCTGGGGGGGTAGGAGATATCATACATAGTCAAGAGAAGGATGCAACAATGAAAAGAAAATAAGAGGGAAAACAGGTTTGTTTGTTCATGAAAGAAAATCTCAAACACTATGAAACAAGGGCATCACTTTGTGTTGACAAGAGCTCAAATTCGGGGTGGAGTATCAGGGTCATGAGAACAAGACGAGAAGATATTTGAACACTAATGTCAATGCTGAATGCTTTTTAGCATTTAACACAATTTCCTACATTCTGGAGAAATTTTCTGCACCAGTTTATGGTGGAAATGTCAATGTCAAAATTCAGGTGGCAGGTGACAACTCAAAATATATTTTAAAAAATGTAGTAATCAATAATATATATAAAAATATCAAATATAATAAAAATATCAAATATAATATTTTTTTGGACAATTCACATCTGTTTCTTCTTCTATATTTGTTTTGTTATTATGCAAATAAACCTTTCTCAAAGTATTTTCATTTGTTATTTAACATTTCTTGTTGCAAGCCATTTTTCAGAACATTTTAATAAATGCTTTCAAAAAGTGATGGGGACATGTCCCCAGCGTCCCCAGTGTAAATGACACCTATGCTATGAAACAATTTCTCCTGTTGTTTGGTTCATGCTTTTCCTCTTGTGCATATTTGTGCAAATACGTAGACATCTTCAATATATCCAGAGATTTACAAAAAAGTGTCTGTATCACAGTCAGACTGTTTGAGCTGCAGTCTGGTCTGTCTGCAGCAGAGGGCACCGCTACAAACACCGCTGTGTGTCGGCGGTGGATAAAGTGTTCATCGGATGGTTGGATGTCTCAGCAGGGTGACGAGGCTGAGTACAGACTTGTGGTGGTGGTGGTGGGGGACTTTGTCATATGGTGCGAGCAGAACCAGTTACAGCTCAACATGATTAGGAGCTGGTTGTGGATCCAAGGCACCAGGGACCCCTGTTTCCATCCAGGGGGAGACATTTCTACATTTATTCATTCAGCTGACGCTTTTATCCAAAGCTACTTACAATTGCCGTACATGTCAGAGGTCGCACGCCTCTGGAGCAACTAGGGGTTAAGTGTCTTGCTCAGGGACAAAATTGCAGATGGGTCACAGTGGGGAATTGAACCCAGGTCTCTCACACTAAAGGCAGGCATCTTATCCACTGTACCATCACGACCTCTACAGGAAGGGCCAGAGCCGTCTCTACTTTCTGAGGAGGCTGAGGTCCTTCAGCATCTGCAGGACGATGCTGAGGATGTTTTATGACTCTGTGGTGGCCAGTGCTATCCTGTTTGCTGTTGCATGCTGGGACAGCAGGCTGAGGTTAGCGGACGCTAACAGGCTCAACAAACTGATCCAAGGCCAGTGACGTTGTGGGGGCGGAGCTGGACTCTCTGTCGGTGGTGTCAGAGAGGAGGATGCTGGCCAAACTACATGTCATCTTGGACAGTGTCTTCCATGACTTGCTGCTCAAATACAGGACTCATCCCCCATAATGCACCACAGAGCGCCACAGGAAGTCCTGCCTGTGGTCATCAAACTCTACAACTTCTCCCTCTAAGTGTCTGACACACGGACACTTAGTTTAAACTGGACATTATTATCTGTTTTTGTGCAATATTCTCTGCTGCTATTCTGCCAGTATTTATTCACTAGTACATACCAACACTCCTTTATATTTTATATTTATACTCATATTTATATATTTCTTTATCAACCAACTTTCTATTATTATTTCTATACCTCCTGCCTTGATAAGTGTGCAACTGTGAAAAAAGAATTTGCCCTCAAGGATCAATAAAGTATTTCTGATTCTGATTTCTGATTCAGATCCTTTGCTTTTAAGTAAAAGTATTAATACCACATTGAAAAAATACTCATTACTGCATTGAAAATCTTACTTAAGTAAAAGTATGTATGTACAATCAGGAAATGAACTTAAAGCATTAAAGTAAAAGTACTAGTACTAGTGCACATTGAAACATGTCCCCTGTGACTGTATCACCATTATCAGTGTGACAGCAGGATTTTACTGTAGTAGTTGGTTACGGTTGAACTATTTTGTATCTATGATGATATTACTGATCATTTTCATTATGGATTATTATCTGTTGATTATTTTCTCCATTAATACATTTTTTAATTCTCAAAACAGAGAGAGATCACAGTTCATCCAGAGCCCAAAGTGACACCTTCCTGATGGTTGCTTTGTTAAACCAGCAGTACAAAGTTATCAAATAAATAAATCGAAATAATTAAAAGGAAAAGCAGCAAATCTTCACATCTGTGAACCATAAAAATAGTTGACAATTCATTTCACGGTCAGTCTAATAATCCTGCCGTACTAGTCTAAAATGCTGGGGAGGTTAATTTATAACATAACATAACATTTTCTAAACTCTTCATGTGTTTGTGTGTAAAAATCTGACTTTGTAAAATAACTGAAGCTGTCAGATAAATGTAGTGAAGTAAAAAAGTACAATATCTCCCTCTGAGAGATTGAGTGGAGCAGAAAGTGGTATGAAAAGAAAATATTCAAGTAAAGTACAAATACCTCAGTTTTGTACCTGGAATCCATCAAAACAGTCACTGCAGTCTTTGCAGAAAAAAATGAGTGAAATGAACGAGTTGCAGCAAGGACTGAACATTGTGTGGAAATATTACCAGGAAAGTATTACCAGGGTTAATAGTTAAATTCCTTGTGTGGCTTAATGGACATCGTTGAAAACATATGCAGACGTATTACTGTTAGAAATGTGATATTAAAAATTTCTAAAGTTAATTTTCTTTCTTTGTGGCTTGAGCCTATTTTGAATCAGCAGGATCTCTAAACTGCAGTATCAAAGAATGAGCAGCAGATGGAGCTAAAGAACTGTAAAATTCACCCTGAACTCCAGACCAGACCACATTTCCAAACAAGCCTCATTCATTCCTTAATATGTGCATTATCTGTATTTATTCTGTGTCTTTGGCATTTAAAGCACATTAACAAACATTCCTGTTAATGTGAGTGTCACCAAATATCAAAGCTTGTACGGAGCTGCCGTGGTCAAAGGATGACGAGCTTTGGCCTCGCTGTGCTCTGGTTGTTATGATTACGGCTGTGACACATTTGTTTTTAACACTGGCTACGTGCAGGGCTTATGGTTGTGCTGGCTCAGCGTTAAACATGAGTCATATCTGATAGAAGCACTGTGGGTTCCAATCCTGAGTGTCTCCTGTTAATAGAGTAGTTACAGTTTAGCTGATGTAGCCACAGTGTTAAAACTGAACTGAACTGTTCCTGTGGATCAGGGGAAACCCAAAAAATATTACATGAAGAGTCATCAAAGATAAACTCACATCTCAAATATCTTACACTATACTGCAGGTCTTAGGTTTGTGATTATGCACAACTTGTTTAATCTTCTTTTATTGCTGCTCTGTTTGATCTTGGAAAGGTGTATTTTTTTATGCCTTTAGGCTTTACTTACTATCAATACCTGTATTTATTATGAATGTGCATTTATATATTACCTTTATTCATTTTATCCTTTGATAATATTCATTTATTAACTGCTGTTCTCTTTTCTTTTCTACTGTATTTATTGCTGTACTCGCCATGTCAGTGCCTACAGGTGGTTTTTCCTGAGTGTCTAGACTGTGAAGCAGCAATGTGCACTATGTGCCCAAGAAATATTTCTCCTTGGAGGCAATAAAGTTGACCTCATCTTGGTCCTGTTTGCCCACTGAGCACAAAGGCTGCCTTCAGACTGCACGCCAAAGAGACTCACATTTGATTTGTTTAGAACAGTGTGAACAGGTCACATGGAATCTAAACTTTTCCAGTTCGGATTTGTGCCAGTTTCATACAGTATGTTGTCCAAACGATGCAGGTCAGATTTTTAGAAATGCAACCTCAGTCTGGAGATTGGTGTTCATGCAACTCTGACGTCACGCTAGAGCGTCCATTGTCACAAATCTGCACTAATGTGAACTAAAAATAATCTTTCTCTCCATCCTTATTATTATGACTTCTCTTTCTTCCACATGAACTCAACCTAAACAAAAACCATGTAGAGGCTAACCTCTGTGGCCTCCATGTTTAATTCCGTGTGACGTCCCTTGCAGGTCATTTTTAGGCTGTTCAGGGTCTGATATGGACCAAATTTACAAGATAATGTAAACAGTAAATCAAAAGATCAGATCTTGGCAATCCTTCAGAAATGAGCATTAAGGTCTGCAGTGTGAACGTAGCCAAAGAGACCTGAACAATTAATCCTGGTAGTAGTACTGTGAATTCCCTTTACATTAACACTGATACCATAAATATAAAATTAAACTTTGACTGATTTCAGATTCAGTTCATCCTAGTTGCATGTTGGTTCTAACTATGTTCTGACTCTGTACTGCATTCACACTAAACAAGTACAAAGTATACTATACAGAGCATCCTTAAAGTTTACATTAATTCATTTAGCTGATGCTTTTATCCAAAGCGACTTACAATTATTATATACACGTCAAAGGTTGCAC